CTGCCCAAGGAGATGCCCCAGCGGCACCCACTGGGTGGGGGGGACAGCAGCCCCCTGCCCCGGCCGGCACTGACCTGTAGTAATTGGGTTTGAAAGGCCCGTTTTTGTTGAGTCCCAGGTATTTCGCCTGATCGTCCGTCAGTTCCGTCAGGTGGGCGTCGAACGAGGGCAGATGCAAGCTGGCGACGTACTCGTCTGGGAAGGGGGAGAGGAAAGGGGGGATCAGGGGGGGCACGACCCCCACTACACTGCCGGGGAGATGACGTATGGACTCCTCACACGGCAGGACAAGGGCCAGGGCACCACGCTGGGGCGGGCGAGGCGGTCCTCCGCCTAGCCCCACGGATTCACCGCCACGTAAGCAGCGCTGAGCCCGAGCCCCGGCGCTGAGCAGGGCTGGGTGTACACCAAAAAGCGCAGGCGTCGCACGAAAAACCTCAGAGCAGGAAGGCTGCAGGCTAAGGGACGCCTGCCACGCTGCAGAACGTCAGGGAAAATAAATGGAACGACCTGCACGTATTTTAAGGCTGCTGCCTCTGATGGGTTCCCTGAACCCATTCTCTCTCCGGAAGGTTTCTCCAGCCCGGGTTTGAGTTTCTCCTTGCTTCCAAAACTGCTGGCCCACAGCAGCCCAGGGGTAAGTCAGCCTGGGCTCCCTCCACTCACCCATCTTCTTCGGCAGCAGGTACACGTCCTGTTTGTAACGGCCCTCGGGAGCGTTGTAGAGCTCAATCAGAGCCAGAGCCTGCAGAGATCACAGGGGACAGCACGGGGACAGTCAGGGACAGCCACCACGCCGGGCAGCACCCGCAGCGGAGATAAGGGTTTGGGAGGCTGAGGGAGGGGGCATTTCCAAAACGCTTGAAGGAAAGGCTTCCTCCTAGGGGTACATCCCTCTCCGGGTCTCCGTGACCCCACCAGTGCTGGGGGAGGACCAGAGACAGGAGATGAGATGCCACCCAGCTTGTCTGCAGCATCCGGGCTGAACGCACCGGGGAAAACCGGCACAGGAGGAGGGAGGAGAGGGCAGCAGCTCCAGTTCTCTGAAACTGCACGGCTGCCACATCACACAGCGATGAAGGGATTGCTCGTTGTACGCTGGCGGCATCGCTCCAAACCCCACGGCCGCTCCTCCAGCAGGAACAGAACCGCGTCTCCCCCGAGTGCCGCTTCACGTCACGGAGAGCCGGGGCCGTAACGCAGCC